GCGCTGCTACGCCATGTCCCAGGCAAGTTGTGTTGCTCACCCTATTCGTTGAAAGTGAATGCAGATCGTTATTTTGCCGCTGGTGTGAAACAAAATCCTGCATTGAGTCTACTTCAAGTTATTTGCCTTTTCTGGCGAAAAGGAGGGCATTGCTCTGTGAAATTTCTCCCATTTCCTTCATTTCTGTTCTGGAGAAGGGAGCTGATGAGCCACCTTCTTGATCTGCTGCAATCATTGCGGTGCAGGCACACCCACATTGTTGATCAGAAGGGAAACCTCATCTAATCGAGACTGTGATAGCTCGCGTTCACTTTTCGTGGGTCATTCTTACTCTTATTCTTTTCATTTCCTGACTTGAGCAGTTTCCAGTAAGTGGAGTTGGATTAAACCTCCAGTGTATTTGGAGGAGCAGTTTGGAAATGTCCCAGGGTATTGGCATCTGGTGGGAAATTGATATTGTAGCTCGGCATAGCCGAGCAGCTAAGAAAATGGATGAGGAGGATAGGCTTCCTCGAAGCCCTTACCGGTGCCTTCACTTTCGTCGTCTTCCGGCAGCAACATCGCAAAAATCATTTTTGAGACAATCGCTCGTATGACATGGTGTCGTGTGACCTCTGGTATTTGCTCTTGCCCAGAAGTGGAAATCTTCGCCGGAACACTGACCGGCGAAGCAGAAAGACAGGGAAAGTGAAAGGAATTATGATAATGTTGTTCGTGCCTGGACTGCCTGTGTAACAATTTCGCAATGGGATCTGCCGTTCTCGGATTCTAAATCTGCTTACCATTCGAGACGAAGGATTTTTTTTCGGAGCCACTTATTTTGCATCACAGGCTTAATAACTGTAAGTATGTTGCACGGTATTATCTCGTGCGCGGCTCACTCGGCTTTGTGCATTTTACCTGCAGTCCGGTGCTGATCATGTTACACTTACACCGGAAAGTTATTCTGGTTTGAACAAGGGACCGAATCATATTCCAACGTGAATTTTTAAATCCCAGAAATGTCGTAGAGCTCGTATTTTCTTTATCGGAATATACATTCTCATAGACACAAAGCCTTTGTTGGTCACTGAGTCTAAAAGATACGTTCAGCTTGCCATTCATTTTTGTTTTGATTGAAGGGCTGCACGTATCTGTTGCAGCACATATCACACCCGTGAAAGTATAGGAGGAGTAGAATGGGGATCGATATAAACCAGTGACTAATCTCCCCAGAGCCCGATGTACAACAGTGAACATTCGGCCCCAGTGCCTGATGTTAGACCGTGACCACTCTCCCCCGCAGCCCAGTAGAAACCAGTGAACTTTCTCCCAGAGTCCGATATAAAACAGTAAACATTCTTTCGCAGAGCCCAACATAAAAGAGTGTTCATTATACCCCAGACCCCGATACGAAACGGTGACCATTCTCGTCCAGAGCCAAGTATGAAATCGTGACACCCGCTAATTCTCATAAACCTGCATTTAGCATGGCTTACCAACCTGGCCTGCACATCCCCGCACACAACGGGGCAATTTCCCATAGCAATTATATGAATTATATGAAGCCAAAAACAGTAAAGGCTTGTTGGATTAGTGGTATGACCCTTGCATAGGGTACTATGCAGTGTTAACATGCGAGAGGTCCTGGGTACAACTCCTCGATGAGCCCAGGTATGTTATTTCACTTTTGGGGGAGGGGGGATTACAATGCTGTCAGGCAAGAACTTTGGCGTGGAGTTTGGGAACAGATGTTCTCAGAGAAATGCATGACAGAAATGTGAAGGTTGTTTCGGGAGCACTTGCTACAGCTACTGGATAGGTTTGTCCCACTGAGGCAAAGAAAGGATGGTAAGGTGAAGAAACCTTGGATGACGAGACATGTGGAACATCTAGTCAAGAGGAAGAAGGAAGCTTACTTAAAGTTAAGGAAACAAGGATCGGACTGAGCTCTAGAGGTCGACAAGGTAGCCAGGAAGGAACTGAAGAATGGACTTAGGAGAGCAAGAAGGCAGGTATGGCAGGTAGGATTTAGGAAAATCCCAAGGCATTCTATACTTACGTGAGGAACAAGGGGATGGTCAGAGTAACGATAGTGCCTATCAGGGATAGCGGGACCTTAACGTTTGTGAGGATAGCATGAAAAAGGCAGATACGCTCGAACAGGTTGATGTTAGGAAAGAGGATGTGCTACAAATTTTGAAAAACATGAGGATAGAAAAGTCCCCTGGGCCACACAGGATATGGCCAAGATTGCTCCGAGAAGCGAGGGAAGAGAAAGTTTGGTGATGGTTTTTGCGTTCTCACTGTCCACTGGAGTAATACCAGATGATTGGAGGGTGGCAAATGTTATTCCCTTGTTCAAGAAAGGGAATAGGGATAATCCTGGGAACTACAGAACAGTCAGTCATTCTGTGGTGGGCAAATTATTGGAGAGGATTCTGAGAGACAGTATTTATGATTATTTGGACAAGCACAATTTGATTAGAAATAATCAATGTGGCTTTGTGAGGGGCAGGCCATGCCTCACAAGTCTTATTGAATTCTTTGAGGATGTGGCAAATTACATTGATGAAGATCGAGCAATGGATGTGGTGCATATGGATTTTAGATAGGCATTTGATTAGTTTCCCCAAGGTGGGCTCATCTAGAAAGATAGGAGACATGGGATTCATGGAAATTTGGCTGTCTGGATACAGAATTGGCTGTCCAATAGAAGCCAGAGGGTTGCAATAGATGGAAATTATTCAGCCTGGAGCTTGGCGATCAGTGGTGTTCTGAAAGAATCTGTTCTGGGAACCCTGCTCTTTGTGGTCTTTATAAATGACTTGGATGAGGAAGTGTAAGAGTGGGTTAGTAAGTGTGATGATGACACGATAGTTGGTGGCACGGAGGATAATGTGAAGGGCTATTGGAGGTTGCAACGGGACATTGACAAGATGCAAAGCTGGGCAAAGAAGTGTCAGATGGAATTCAACCTGGAAAAGTGTGAAGTGATTCATTTTGGAAGGTCGAATTTAAATGCGGAATGTCGGGTAAATTGCAGGATTAATGTGGAGGAACAGAGGGATCTTGGGGTCCACATCAATAGACCCCTCAAAGTTGCTACCCAAGTTAATAGGGTTGTTAAGAAGGTGTATGGTGCGTTGGCTTTCATTGGCAAGGGAATTGAGTTTAAGAGCTGCAAGGTTATGCTTCAGTTACTTAAAACCCTGGTTAGACCACACTTGGAATATTGTGTTCAGCTCTGATCACCTCATTATAGAAAGGATGTGAAAGCTTTAGAGAGGGTGCAGAGGAGATTTACCAGGTTGCTGCCTGGACTGGAGGCCAGGTCTTATGAGGAAAGGTTGAGGGATCTCGGGCTTTTCTCTTTGGAGTGAAGAAGGATGAGCTGTGACTTTATAGAGGTATATAAGATGATGAGAGGCATAGATAGTGTGGATACCCAGAGACCTTTTCCCAAAGTGGAAGTGACTATAATGAGGGGGCACACTTTTAGGGTGATTGGAGGAAGATATAGTGGAGATGTCAGAGGTAGGTTCTTTACACAGAGAATGGTGGATGCGTGGAATGCACTGTCGGCGGTGGTAGTCGAGTCAGATACATTCGGGACATTTAAGCGAGTCTTGGACAGGTGCATGGATGATTTTAAAATATAGAGTATGCCGGGTAGTTTGATCTTAGAGCAGGATAATAGTTCGGCACAACATCGTGGGCCGAAGGGCCTGTGCTGTACTCTTCTATGTTCTATGTGTTCAATTCACCTCGCCTGCATAAGTTCAGACCGTGGGAAGAAACTGAAGCACTCAGACGCAGACATGGTGAGAATGTGCATACTGCACGCAGACATCAGCTGAAGCTGGCTCCTTTTTGCTGAAAGGCCCCAAAAATTGTTGGATCCGGCCCGGTAGGGAATCGAACGCTAGTCTCCCACCTGATAGGCAAGGATACTAACCACTACAGTGCTGAGGACCTCGAGTGTAAATGCCCCTTAAGCCCTTTACGTGTGCACCAATCAAATAAAATCGCTTAACTATCCAAATTCTCTTTCTATTGCTTAGCCCATAGCCATCAATGCCATAGCATCACAAATTCACATCTGAATGCTTCTTAAAGTCATCAGGATATCTGCCTCTTGGACACTTGCAGGCAGTGGCTTCCAGATTCCAAACATCCTCTGGTTGAAAGCGTTTTTCCGCAAATTTACTCAAAACTTCCTTCCTCTTACATTAAATCTATGGCCCCTGGTGATCCCTCCATCAAGGGAAAGCATTTACATGAGTCTACCCTATCAATAGCATTCATTATTTTGTACATCTCCTCTGCTCTGAGGAAAACGACCACAGTCTATTCGATCTGTCTTCATCATGGAAACTCTTCAGCCTAGACAATGTCCTGGTAAATTTCTTCTGCACCGTTTCTGGTGCTATCACATCCCACAATAACGTGAATTAGAGAACTGCACACAATACTCTTGCTATAGCCGAATCAACAAATGCAATAAATGATGCAGAAAGCCACAGAAACTGGTCTTTTCGAATGAAGTCTGTTTTGCTCATTATTGCCATGTGTCGTTTTCCTAAGTCTGATGTTCCAATAATCATTGGTCCATGTCAGTAAAAGCTGCGACATGAGTCTTGATCTCACTGTCCCAGTATCTAAATATTTCGTCTGGTTTAAAGTTCCCGGTGGTGAGACAGGCCATGTTCACACAGCAACACTGACCGCAACAAGACAGAATGAACGCTGTCAATGTAAAAATGGATGTTAGATTGTGCAGTGCCTCAGTGAAGTGGAAGGAGGCACGTAAAGGAGGGTGAGTGATTGTGGGTGGGAGAGAAATCTCCAAGTGGTGGGTTTGAATTCTGATACATCAAATGCAGATATGTGAGAGAGTGGGGGTTGAGAGATGATTGTCACCACCTCAAAGAATATTTTCAAGTAAAAATGTTTGATACTTGCCGCATTGCTGTTGCCCGTGTCACAAGGAATAAAAAAGAGTTGCAGCAAACACTCACTGCCGTGACTCGGATTCGAACCGAGATTGCTGCGGCCACAACGCAGAGTACTAACCACTATACGATCACGGCACCACGTAAAACCGCTGGCTGATAATGAGCAATAACTACAGTAGCAGAGGATATGCTGGGAACAGCTCCAGATCCACAATAGGAATTCTTTCCAAGCAGCGCACTGTAATGTGGGGATTAACAGAGGGCTGGAATCTGTAATTACAATGCTACCAGAGACTGTGGAGATTCCATCAATGAGTATGTTGAAGACCGAGATTGATAGATTTCTAAAAAAAATATCAAAGACTCGGAGGATAGTGCAGGCACTTGTTGAAATGTATCTTTCAATAGCAATCTAGTTTAACATCGGATACTTCACCGGTTCCTTCACACAAGGAAGTAACCATTGCTGCAGATGACCATATAATCCCAGTTCCCAGGTCCGGAACCAGAGAAACTCAGTGGCCCAGCCACGAAGATACAACCGGAAATGGGGATGGCAATGAGCGTGCGGACATCAGCTGTGATAATAGCTAACGAGATAACCTGTGCATTATGAGCCAAGACAATGTGACAAAACCGAAATAGAGCCGCGGAGATGATGTGCAGAAGGATGAGAGAATGCAATGCTGAATCAGACTGTGACCAGGGTGATACAGGTAGAAGTGACGCAATCGGTGAGCGCACGGTCCTTCTTTGGCGGCATGGAGGCGCGTGAAATGCCGAGGCTGTGAGCTCCAACCTTACCCGGAGCAGCTTTTATTGACATGGAGCAGGGATTATTGGGGCATCAAGCTGTATGAAAAGATATTCAGCAATTTTAATCTGAGGCAAAATAGTTTTTGGTTATGATGTTTGTGGATTAAGGGAGGATTTGTCCGTGAAAATGTCACAATTATAAAGAAAAATGCTGCAAATATTCAACTCGTCAAGAGAGAAATCTGTGCTGGGAGAAATGGAGGTAATGTTTTCGCTTTCTTACTTTTGTCATATGGCTGACCCCGCACTGGGTTGAATTGCGGGAAGGGCTTTTTTTTTGCTTGTTTCGTCTTATTCAATTTCATGCAAACATGTACAGGTCACTGAAGTAATCTAAACTTCCGAAAAATATCGGTAATATATGATATTGTGATTAGGCTCGAGTTTACCTCAGGTTACGGAGGGAAAGCAGGAAAGCGGAGTTGACATTTATCAGATCAGCAGCGATCTCATTGAATGGCTGAGCAGACTCGATAGGACGAATTGTAGCTTCCTGACGACAAATGCCAGTGAAACTCACCGCGTCACAAAAGAGAGACTATTGAATTGAAGCAGCGAAGGTGATTATCTTTGCTGGTTGTTCATCTTGTGAATGTTACTCTTACTGCTGATGTCCCTGTTAACAACACAACACAATAGAATAGCCTGACTGCGCAGTGACGGCTGAGGCACCTTTCCCCTCTTTCAGTGGCTGTCGTATGGACTCTGATGTTCTCGGGGGCATTAACTGACATTGCAGGATTGCGGACAGAGCCGCATTGCTTTTGCTGTTGTCACCATCAGGAACAATAAAACTTGACTTTCTGATTGGGAATCGAAGCTGGGCCGCGCCGGTGAAAGCGCCGAAATTCTAACCACTAGACCACCAGGGACGGTGGAAGGGCATCGCGCATCGTTTCCTAATGACAGAACTTCTGGATTTTTTTCTTTCTCCGACAGTTGTTTCTCCTCCAAAGTGATTGAATCATCGTGTTTTTACAATACGGAAGGAGGCTCAACATCCCAGTTTCCAGCCTTGGCCCATAGCCTTGTGCACTACGAGGCGATGGACCGGCCGTTTGAGATGTTCACGTTTCCTTGGGGAACTGGACCACATTTTCACCCCCAGAAGGTAACACACAGACACATTTCCCAGAAGGTGACAAAGGCCTCAGCAGACACCAGCGCCCAGAAAGGAGGATTTCACCCATTTGGGTTATATTGTCCAATTTCAAACTTCAAAACCAGAATCTGATTACAGCAAAGAAAAAAAGCATTCGGCCACTCCCCTCTCGGTTGGTCCCCCATTGTTTCCTTGTCAATCTGCAGTTTATAATACCCCACCTCACCGAACTGCTGGCCTGTGGAGGACATGACATTGGCAAAATTTCAGACGATATGAAAGTGCTCCTTTGGATATTGGATGCGGCAGTTGTACAAACATTCTCATATCCTCCAGTTAGAAGTAAACTCATGACTGGTGCTTTAGAAGACCATTGCTTTCAATACTGCGCTACAGAGCGAAGACTGTGCCCTGTAAGGCAGGGTTTCATGCATTAGAAACTGCAATGTAATAGATAACAGGATAGTCTGTGCATTATAAACCAAGATAATGCGACAAAACCGAGATGGAGCCGAGAGGATCATATGCAGAAGGATGAGAGATGCAATGCTGAATCAGGCAGTGACCAGGGTGATACAGATCGAAGTCTTCCCGAGTAGTTTACTGATTCGGATTCAGTGCCTTCACTGCCATGGCGTGTTCGTGGTTAAAATTTACAATAATAACTATGAAATATTGACTGATCTTTAGAAGCAGAATTATGTCGTGGACCAGTCAGTATCGCTTCAATCTATATTACAGTTCTGCATCAGCAATGTCAGCTGCAATTGCCTGACGTGCAATTTGTTTAAGACAAGAACAGAGGGGAGGTCAGGAAAAGTGAAGGGCAACGGTGGTTTGTGAGAGTTGACTGTAGGCCTAATGGAGCCAGGCTCAATGTGGGCACTGAAGACTGGTTTTTCCTGTTTACCCTGGCATACAGATTCATCCGGAACAACCAACCACAATGACTGCCCCTTTGTTTGCTGCCCTTGGCACATCTAACTTCGGTTCAGTGCCCCGATGGGATCCACACATTTTTAAGTTGGCGAATTTTACTCCAGTCAGTTTTGCAGCCTTGCATTAACATCATGCATTTTAGGAGTAGAAAGAGACAACTCAGCCCATCAAGTCTGCTCCGCTATTAAATGAGCGGATAATCCTGATCTGTTAATCCTGAACTGCACTTTCTTGGATTTCTTCGTAACCTTTGATACCCTTGCTGCTAAAAATCTTTCGATCTCAGCCTTAGATATACTTAGTGGCCCAGCTTCGACAACCCTCTTCTGTAAAGAAATCCACCGATTCACAACCATCTGAGAGAATAAATTTTACCTCGACTCTACCTTAAATGTGCGACCTACATTCTGATATTAGACGCTCCGTTCCGAGACGGCTCCAGAAGGGAACTAACCTTTTTGCATCCAATCCGTTACATCGCCAATAACACCTGTACGTTTCAATAAAGAGCATTTTTGTAGTACTGTTTCTGAGCTGATGAAAGCAATGGATTTCAGTGCTTCTTCCCATTTAATTCACCTCTGATGTGAAACTCTCACTGATTCTGATAGAGATTATCATTATCACTAAGGAGGCAGTGCTGGGCAAGGTAATGGGGCTAACAGTAGACATGTCTCTTGGCCCTGATGAAAAGCATCCCAGGATACTAAAAGAGGTGATGGGAGACATAGCAAATGCACTAGTAATTATTTATCAAAATTCACTAGACTCTGGGGTGGTTCCCGCAGATTGAAAAACAGCCAATGTGACGTCACTGTTTAAGAAAGGAAGTAGACAAAAAGCAGGTAACTTTAGACCAGTTAGCTTAACTTCGGCAGTGGGGAAAATGCTTGCATCGATCATTAAGGAAGAAATAGCAAGACATCTGGATATAAATTGTCCCATTGGGAACACCCAGCATGGGTTCATGAAGTGTAGGTCATGTTTAACTAATTTGGTGGAATTCTTTGAGGACATTACTTGCAATGTGGACAATGGGGAACCTGTGGATGCGGTGTATCTGGATTTCCAGAAGGCATTTGACAAGGTGCCACACCAAAGGCTGCTACATAAGATAAAGTTTCTCGGTATTACAGGTAATGTATTGGCATGGATAGAGGATTGGTTGACCAGTAGAAAACAAAGAGTAGTGGGAAATGGGTGTTTTTCTGGTTGGCGGTCAGTGGCTGGTGGTGTGCCTCATGGATCAGTGTTGGAACCACAATAGTTTACAATTTACATAGATGATTTGGAATTGGGGACTAAGTGTAGTGTGTCAAAATTTGCAGATGACACTAAGACGAGTGGTAGAGCAAAGTGTGCAGAAGACACTGAAAGTCTGCAGAGCGATATAGATAGTCGAAGTGAGTGGGCAAAAGTCTGGCAGATGGAGTACAATGTTGATAAGTGTGAGGTCATCTATTTTGGTAGGAATAACGCAAAATGGACTATGTTTTAAATGGTAAAAAATTGCAGCACGCTGCTGTGCAGAGGGACTTGAGTGCCCTCGTGCATGAATCGCTAAAAGTAGGATTGCAGGTGCAGCAGGTAATTAAAAAGGCAAATGGAATTTTGATGAAAATGATAGAAAATCAAAAGTCAGAAGCAGTGTCGTTGAGAAAAGATACAAGAGTCTGAAGTACCCTTTCTGGTGGTCTAATGGTTAGGATTTGGCGCTTTCAACGCCGTAGGCTGAGCTCCATTTTCCGTCAGGGAATGGGAGTTCTATTCTGCTCGTTCATTGTGATGACTGATTTTCAGGAGCAGGAAAGAAGCTGTGGAGCCGGTAGATGGACTGTTTTGTCCCAGAAATTATTCAAGTTAACAGAAGTCAAAGAACTGCAGATGCTGAAAGTCTGAAAGAGAAACAGGAATTGACCGAGAAACTCAGCAGGCCTGGCAGCATCTGTGGAGAGAAAGAGAGGTAACCTTGGAACTGGGTTAGTTATGCATTTCAATAATATAATGTTAGGCGAAATTATCAGCTTTATCTGTCAAATCGGCATATTTATCAAAAATTCTCTCTCTGATTAGCCGACAATTGTTAATTGTTACAGTTCACAAAACAACAATGCCAATTGGGTTAAGCTTAGGCAACTGGAGTGGGAGCAGAGGAATAATGATGTATTGAATATGAACGTAATAGGAGTCAAGCAACTAGCACTATTTGTGTGAAGTTTAGACAAGATACCCTCAAACTAAGCCATAGGCACCAGTGGGTCTCGAACCATGGATCTCC